GGATAAACAAAACAAAACAAAACAAAAAAACAAAAAAAATAAAATAAAAAAGTAAAATAAAAAATACCTATTGAAGGGGTCTGAGGGTTCCGACATGAGGTGCCTCTCTATATGTCTCCTATCCACAACAACTCTGCTCGACGGCAGCAGCACGGGGTCCTTCATCACCTCAGCCATTATAGGGTCCAGAAACTCAGCCTGCAGCAGCAGCAGCAGCAGCAGCAGCAGCAGCAGCAGCAGCAAGGGGAGCAGCAGCAGCAGCAGCAGCAAAGGGAGCAGCAGCAGCAGCAGCAGCAGCAGCAGCAGCAGCAAAGGGAGCAGAAGCAGCAGCAGCAGCAGCAAGGGGAGCAGCAGCAAGGGGAGCAGCAAAGGGAGCAGCAGCAGCAGCAGCAGCAGCAGGAGCAGCAGCAGCAGCACAGGCAGCAGAAACGGGAAAGGTAGAGAACTGTTGCAACAGCAAAGGGAGCAGCAACACCATCACCAGCAGCAGCAGCAGCAGCACCATCACCATCACCATCACCACCATCACCATCACCATCACCACCATCACCACCCTCACCCTCACCAGCAGCAGCAGCACCATCACCATCAGCAGCAGCAGCAGCAGCAGCAGCAGCAGCAGGAGCAGCAGCAGCAGCAGCAGCAGCAGCATAATATCTTACGGGTACATCATCGAGGTCGATTTCTTTTTCTGCTTTTTCTTCGTCGGCGAGTCTCTTCACTAACGAATGAAACTCCTCCAGCAACGCAGACGCCATCAACCCCTCACGCCGGGCTATGCGGCACTGCAGCAGCAGCAGCAGCAGCAGCAGCAGCAGCAGCAGCAGCAGCAACAGCAGCAGCAGCAGAAGCAGCAGCAGAGGGAGCAGCAGCAGAAAGAAGAAGAAGTTCAGTACAAGCAAAATTACAGCTGCAAAGGAATTCATGTGTATCTCCATCTGCTGCTGCTGCTGCTGCTGCTGCTGTTCCTGCTGCTGCTGCTGCTGCTGCTGCTGCTGCTTACTGCTTTTGCGATGTTTGCGTGTTTGTAGTATCTGCCGTCTCTCAGGATTTCACTTATTATCATCTCGCCGTTCGTCTTGTCTGCTTGCACTGCAGCAGCAGCAGCAGCAGCAGCAGCAGCAGCAGCAGCAGCAGCAGCAGCAGCAGCAGCAGCAGCANGCAGCAGCAGCAGCAGCAGCAGCAGCAACAGCAGCAGCAGCAGCAGCAACAGCAGCAGCAGCAGCAGCAGTACAACAGGAGGGAAGAATATCTGCTTGATACGAATAACGATTAGGAGGGGGGCAGGTGCTGCTGCAGCAGCGTCTGAACCCCCAAACCCTAAACCCTAAACCCTAAACCCTAAACCCTAGCCCCTAAGCCATAGCTACATAACCAACACTCCAAGTAAACCCTAAACCCTAAACCCTAAACCCTAAACTCTGAGCCATAGCTACAGAACCAACACTCCTAGTAAACCCTAAACCCTAAACCCCAAACCCTAAACCCTAAACCCTAAACCCTAAACCCTAAACCCTAAGTGTCATACAGAGGTAGACGAAGGCCTCTAGGACGGTGGAGAGCCAAACCTTCGGTCTGAAGCTGTACGTCTCCATAGAGTTCACCTGCACACACACAGGCTCTAGGGTTTAGGGTTTAGGGTTTAGGGTTTAGGGTTTGGGGTTTGGGGATGGATGGTTGCTTGGCCGGATAGCTGGCTAGCTGGCTAGCTGGCTAGCTGGCTAGCTGGCTAGCTAGCCAGTTGGTTTGGTGGCTAGCTGGCTAGCTGTCTAGCTAGCTAGCTCTTTAGCTAGCTAACTAGCTAGCTAGCTAGCTAGCTATTTGGTTATGTAGCTATATCGACAGCTAGCTAGCTATCTGGTTATACGACTACATGGCTAGCTAGCTATCCATTTGTTTAGCTAGTTATATGGCTAGCCAGCTAGCTATTTGTATAGCTATCTAGCTACTTGTATAGCTAGCTAGCTAGCTATTTGTACAGCTAGCTAGCTAGCTAGCTAGCTAGCTAGCCAGCTAGTTAGCTAGCTGGCTAGCTAGCTAGCTGG